AGATGAACTTGGGTTCTCGATAAGCACGGGCCAGCACCTTCGTACAATCATTTTCAAAACGACGAATTTGGAGGATCGTCTTCTTTGCTTGCTTCAACCTTTGTGACTGAACGGTAAGACGAATCAAATTATGATTTACTTTACAAATATAATTTTAATGTGAATGATTTATGAATACAGTTTTTTTTTCACTAAAACTAATCATTTTTAACTTTGATTCTTGACAACCAGGAGCGAGCACCTGCACTTCAAAGACAAAGTCTAACCACAATTATACGCGTGGCCGAATGGAAGTGCCTTCGATTTCTAAGACCCGTCTACACAAGCAATTTTTATGTGACAACTATATGTGACATTTTTTTGTCCGTGTTGACAGGCAGCTAGAAATTATTGTTGAAGACTCGCGCCAACTGTGATTTTGCACAGCGGAGATGTCAATAAACAAAACAAATCTAATTACCATAGTTTCGTAGTAGCACTAGAGATAATAAAACTTTAAAAAATAAGATATATTTTTTAATATTTTTAATATATTTTTTTAAATATATTTTTTAAATATATTTTTTATTTTTATATTTTTTTAATCTTAACATGTTTCAGAGGAATGAGGATGTCATAATGTAATGCTGAAACATGTTAAGATTAAAAAAATATATCGTATTTTTTAAAGTTTTATTAAAACAAATTTAGTTGGTGTTAGCTYWTGCAACAACAATAATACCATTCTCTCTGTCGAATCCAGTCGTTCTGCTTACTATCGGTGTCGCCATCTTGGTTGGTGTGCAAAATGTTGAGACTTGGATTCAGTGTGACGTCGAAATAATTGCCACATTTATGTGACGCTCGTCCACACGGGAAATTATCGATATGTGACAATTACATMAAAACTAGCATGCCAGCTTTCCAGTAACTACAGTTGTCACATAAAATTTGTTCAATTTTGCTCATCTACCGCGGGCAATTAAAATTGTCACATAAAAATTGTTCGTCTAGACGGGGCTTAATTCAGAGGTCTGAAGTTCAAGACTCAGAGGAGCTGACATTTCTTTAGATTTCTTTCTTTGCCAAAAAATAAATAAATTCAATCAAATATAGAACAGGGAACCCGGTAACGGTAACTTAATGAGAAAATTAATAGAGAACAATGAAAATAAATAAATAGTTTTGAACACAAGTAACGCAGGCTCAAGTTTACAGGAAAGTGAGTGAGTGAGTGATTGAGTGAGTGACAGATTCGTCCCCCTCCAATAACTCTTCGATTGCTTCGCAATCTTCGAGTTAAAAACCAAGAAAACCCTTAGCCGCAAAAAAAAATTCTCCAAATTTGTCTTGTTTGTAGTTTTGACCGCCCAAGTGTCTCAGGATACAATCGATGGTATCGCTTTTCGGCGCGATAAAAGGATTTTTGTAGATCGTTTTTGGCTCATTTTTAGGAAATTTCGAGCGGAGTCTCCTCCCTTCTCTCTATATAGAGAATATATATATTTATAATGCATAGTGAGGCTAAATAAAATAAATCTTTTTAGAAGTATTTTTTTTTTAACAATTATAGATTCAAGGTCATTGCTTGGGCTCCCTGTGCATTGCTGAGACAAACTTTTGATGCATTGCGGTCTTAGTGCGCACATCGTCTGCCTGACAAATGTGTTGGAGAGAAACCATTACCTAGTATTTTCAGTATAATTGCTGATTCTATACTATGATATAAACAACAATCAAGCCGAGTTCTAATAACTATTATAACTATTGAATTGGTCATCCAAATAGATATGTTTGCTGCTTGGGAAATATGTTAAAAAGGGGTTAGAAAAAGGGTGAGAACAATGTGAAGATATAAACCCGGAATACTTTAGTTTCGAATTCTCTTAATTTGTGCAAGCTCAGCTTTAATTAAGATAAAAAATATATTGTTTTCTTAACTAACCTTTAGGACTTGGAATAACCGGCACACAGCTGTGTGTTGGAAATGTTTCTGAAAGAAAATGAATTATAAATGCATGTTAAAGAGCACTTTGAAATTTGTTATTTCTACTTCTTCAAGATTAGTAAAGAAACGATTTTCAGCGATGTTCGAATATTTTTGTCGAAATCTGTAGCTTCATGTTTTCTTAACTAATCACTAGCACTTGGAATAACCATCATACAGTTTGAAATTGTTTCTGCAAGAAAATGAATTATGCATGTTAATATAGCATTTTAAATTTTGTTATTTCAAGATTATTAAAGACACGATGATATTCAGCGCGCAGTAGCTGTTCATTTCAGTGCATCGGAGGCATCCTTTCAAATATTTTTGTGCTTAAAAATCGATATCGTCCTCGTTAAACAAACACATTGTGATATTATAGTTTTCAATAGTTGTTGTCGACACCGAGCCGTGGGGAGATAAGGGGTTGTAGCTTCATCTTTTCTAAAAAGGACATGGTCCACCATGTTCGAGCTTTGATCATGTTTGAAATAAAAATACATCGCAAAATAGTACATCTATTATAAGCACAAACTTACTCTCCATTATCCCTATATTGTCTAAAACACGATCGCATAAAATGCTGGTGCCGGACCGTGTCACTTTAAATAACTATTCGAATTTGGAATAACCGTCGTAACAGATGAATATAGATTTGATTTTTCGAGGCTTGCCAAGATATGTCTGATTTTTGCGCTAAGTGGCTCTTACGGACATTTTAGCTAGAAGAGGGAGGTGTTGGTGTCTTCTACTAACTGTGTTAAGGAGTACTAAGGCATATAAAACAATTGCTTCAGGGAAAAATCCATTCGTTTACCAAACTTTTGCTGACCATATATAGTAATCTTACCTTATAAGGAAGTACGTTAGAAAGTTTTTTTCAAGTTTTTTCCACTTTTTAGTGCTTTAAAATGGCTAAAACTTACAGAATTTGCAGAGAAATCGCTTTTTAACATGTCGGCCATTATAGTTTTGTCCTAGTCCCCTCCCATCCTTGAAAATAAGGAATCCCACAAAAGACACCGGTAAACCGCGCGATTGTTTGATGTGTGAATTTACTTACCGTTGATTACAGTTTTACAAATATAACTTAATCTCGTGGAACAATCCATTGGTTTTAGTTTGCGTTGTCTTGTAATTGCAAGACAATAACGATTGTTATCCAAGTTTGAAAGGTCCGCAACACATTTAATCATTACTTTATATTCTTCAGGTGAAACTTTGTAGTCATCCCATTCAAATGTATGGAATGATTTGAAAAAAAAAAATAAAAATTCGTGCAAGAACAGTTATATGGAAGAACAGAACCCGTCGGCCCTTCCTGAAGTTTAAGAATTAGATACCTGTTGTAGTAGCAGGTGTAGTGTGGCCTTGGACTGTATAAAAAGCAGATAGTGGTGCTAAACTGAACAAAAATAAAATGAAATATGAGCAAGTCATAGCGATGGCGGTCATTGTCTCTTGGACGTTTTGCTGCAATACTTCAAGCAGCAGTCACGAGTATTATGTCTGCATTTGCGACGTAATGGGGCATATGATGACGAGTGCGGATTCTTAGCTTTTCATTGGTCAATCCTGCCTGTGCCGTCAGATTTGCGAGTAATTTGACAGTGTAGTACATTGAAAGACTTACTTCCTTAATATGCAAATTCTACACGCATTTGAACCTGTGTTTGTAGTATATGAATTTAYTGATATGTAAGTGTCGTTTACTTGATAAAAATGATATGGAGTATCGACAAGCAAAAGCAATAAAAAAGAATTTACATTATTTTCATCGAATTGACATACACTGGAAGATTTTCTTGAATAAAACGTCTCATTTTTTAACCCAGGTGGTCAATAATCACCAAAAACAAACACACACAAAAAGAACCATTTTTAACTAAAGTAGTATTGTTATTCATCAAAAGATATTGTCAAGCAAACGCACAACAATTGACCAAACGCAAAAATGGCAATATACCATTTAAACGATCTCTTTTACACTATGTTAGCATCAAATTCTTTTATTCAGTAACAGACCGTGCAAATGCATGCAAGAGATCTGTTAGTATAGAAGACAAAAAGAAAATAGTTTGAAATATTACGAGTTTTATCTAAATTCTGCATATTTTACTCACAATTAAGGCTAACACAGTGTAATCGCTATACTATTTAACAAACAATCAATAAATTTAACGAACATCCGAAAAGTTTTGTAGACATATAGAGGAACTTTTAGCAAAAGAAGTAGTATTTTAGGGAAAAAAGTCGAAAATATTATTTACAACTTTGGAGCACAAATGTTACGTCTACCTTTAAAAATGCAATTAAGGAACAACATCTGGTTAGTTGAGACATTTTGTTGATATGGACATATATTATTTCATTTTTATATTATAATTTTAGAATACATGCCTATGTTGGGTTTTATCTAAAGGAGGTCATTTTTATGTCAAAAAGATAGATAGAAGGGGAAAAAACTTTGCGTATAAACTCCAATTGTTTATATTAATTCAAAAAATTAGGGAAGTTGAATGTCAGCATTGTCAGTTGAATGTTTGTGCAGTTATAAAGCAATTTTTGGTGAAAARGCTGCTTTTAAACGTAGCACCGGAATCCGTACCTACAGTGAAAACTATTACACAACTACCGAGTATCGTATAACTCAGTGTTTCTTTCCGTTTTTTATCCTTTCTTTTCACTTTTTCTCATGGTAATTGAAAGATAGCTAAGTAAATAAATATGAAATAATAAGATATAAAAGTTTTAATAATGCTATCGGAAATGTATTGTCGAGTATGATATGAGTATTGGCACTATGATATATGAAATATAAAAATTRCGATAATTTGCATACTATATACGACAGGCTGATCATGTCGTTTTAATCAAATAAATACTCACAATACCCTTCTGAATGTTCTAGACCTTTTTCTTTTAACACTATTCCTTGGATAAGGATTGTACATGGAGAAAATGCTTCAAAAAACAAATGTTTTTTGAAATTTGTACACTTGCACATACAAAACAGTTCTATACTTAAAATGCCAAAGCACCTGTTTTCTGTATAAGTCAACAAATTCATTATTCTAAGGYTTAAACAGTTCCTTAGGATATATTATCGATATAGCATGTCAGGTACTTTGAAACTGTTCTCTTTGACACCTGGACTGATAGACAAATTTAGCCAAGTTGTCATTGATAGGAGAAAAAAAAAACGAATTTTTGTTTTTCATTTTAGAATGTCTAGCAAAATGGTAATGAGTTAAATAAATTTTTGCAATTTCTTAAGTTACGACTAGTCTCGCTGTGAGAATAAGGCAAATCTAGTAAAAGTTTCACTATTAACATTTCTCGCTTTGACGATATAGGCCTGTTAACAACAAGGGCTTCTTCATGAAATCCTTAAAAAGTCCTTAAACAAAAATCTCACTGGATAAAATGTTTTCTTTTTCTGTACCCGATTAATTGAYTTTAGATTTTGCTCTAGAATACAGCTATTTGCAATAATTCTGACCCCCCTACACTAATATTCATATATATCAAAGTAGCCTTAGAAATTATGGGATACCAATGCTGATATTTTTTTGAGAAAGTACTCATTCTGGGCAACTCAAAAAATATATCAGTCATGATATCCCATAATATTTAAGGTCAGTTTGATATATATGAAATATGGYAGAGGGGGTCAGAATTATTGCAAACAGCTGTATATGCTACATATACAGCCTTTTGCAAAAATTATGAGAATTGTTGAAATATCTAAATATCATAATATCAAGTGCATGATCCAGCGCGATGCCCTTAGTCCCTTGTCTTTGTTGTTTAGTTTTTTTTTGGGCGACGGACTTATCCGTAGTTCTGAACATTTTCTCGATGTCAACAATGAATTATTCTAGCAAACCCGCGTGTTCCGGACAATATGTGGATATGGATATTATGATATTTAGATATTTAGACAATTCTCATAATTTTTGAAAAGGCTGTATGCTACATATATATATATAATATATATATATAAGATAACTGATCTTCGTGTTTTGTATGAACAAGGCCAATGTTAAACGGCTTCATTAGCACGCAGCTGTTTTGATGAACCTCATTAATAACACATCTGAGTCCAAAATTATTCGATTAAGGTAAAATGGAAAAAAATGCACAAGAACAAAGTAAAAAATATGAAGATAAATTTCGATAAATTACTCCAAACAACAAACKTTTTTCCTAGAAATAAGTGCATTTTATTCGTCTTTATCACATCCCAATGCCATAATATATACCACAAACTAAATAAGAAATAAATATGCTTAGACGGAAACCGTCTCTCTTGTACAAGGTTTTTTGATACCTCTTTTAATGCCAAATGATCGTCCACATCGCCACAAACTCGTTTTGCCATTATTGTAGTACTAAAAGAACATAGAACAACAAAGGAAAAATGCGTTTTTTGGACGATTGGGATTATTCATAAGTCTCATTTGTTTATTTATCGATTGCTCATTGGCTTTAGCTATTTTTCCTGTGCGTAATACATGTAAAGTAGGGATTTTGTATGGCGTACAACGTAACTTGTCTTTCTGGTCTTTGGATAAGGCTGTCCCGCTTAATTCCATCTTGAGTCAGCCTTGGCGTGTTAGTGTGAAAATATCTTTATCGCTCAAGTGTTGTAATAATTAGTGGCCAAAAGCCTCTTTATGAATATACGTACCCCACAATGCGCATGAAACTTTGAAAATATAAACAAACTCTTATAAAAGCGCACTAAAATGTGCATTACCCTTGAATGGTAAACAATTCCGTTTAGCAACTTATAATATATTCAAAGCTACATCAGTAAATCTCCAGGCTAGCTAMAATTGTAGTCTTAGATGTCTTAAAACGTTTTAGTACATATATAGGACACTCGACTAGAGTTACCAGGGGCCACTTCTACTAAGGGTTGATATACACTCCATAGATTTTGTGCAAATTTTATTCKCTAGATAAGGCTTTTCATCCTTCTCACAACCGGCTTAGGAGTGCGACGTCGTATTTTATCGTGTCTTATTCAGATTCAGATTGGTCTTATATTTGAGGAGTACTTGGCTCTAAGCTGCTTTGCTCACTAAAGAAGACAAAGCATCCTGATAGTTATAGTTTATAGTCAATCATTAGCGATTTCATCCTATTCAAACGAATTTTCACGCCTTTCGACCTATTCTCCTATTTGGATTGGCGATACGCCCCCTTTGTAGCCTGCCCAGCAGRTGAGATATCTCAATGTTCTTTCTTTTGATGGATTTCCTTTGTTAGCTGAATGACTGAGTAGGACTGGTTTCAGTAGKCTTCATTCCTCCTCTTTTCTTGGTCAGGGAAACACAAATGTACAGAGTGTATTCCCTCGATCTATATACATAATTAAATACARTTCTGTTTTATCTGAGCGCCGTCAATGGGTGTGACACAAGTTTGCACCGAGATGTCATCGAGCTCTTCTAGCACCACGGGATTAACTCGATTATTCCTTGAAAAAGAATCTTGTAAACTCTCAGAACTGGCAAATTTCAGTGTGTTTCTGTCTAAAGATGACATGGTATTCTCTGCTTGTGAACTCTTTGATGAGCCAAAGTTTGATGGTTGGGTCAATTTCCAGCGTTGTAATTTTCTGTCGAATGAGTTTCGAATCTCACCACTTCGCACGCAGTGAAGAAGAAATATCAGAAGACCCTGGAGATCAAGAATCAGTTTAAATGTATATGATTTTCTCACAGAAATGTTCAGTTTAAAGACAACGTAACGTAATTGGAGTGAAGTCYGAACACGGCAATGAACAARACTAACTAGTAAACTCTCTATCTGGCCAGATGAAAAGGAAAGGATTCCAAAAGGTGGAAGAATGCAACTATTAAAACTGGAGACTTCAAATAAACTKTTTCCATTGAGCAGTGCACCTTAAGTCAATCCCAACACATGACCGAAAGCAGGAAATGGAACTTTACCTGGAATGAGTTTAATATGGTAAAAATATACTGGAAAACAATCCCTGCATTGGTGACGGACAGAAGGCCAAACAACCATGTCAGACCGAGTAGTGGGAACAGAACAACACATGCTTTTACTCCTCGTCTACAAAAGAACAACAAATTGTTAAATTTGTTGTAAATTCATAATTTAAATATGTGAATGTAATCGGKTTGTGTGGTTGTACCTGAAGGTGTCCAGATCTGTCGTTTTTGTTCGATTGAGTCTCGTCATTTCACGAACCACACAAACCAGAATGATGACGTTCACCTACAAAAGGTGATAAAGAGAATGTGAGTAATTCAAAATACGAATTTATTTCAACAAATTACMCCACATTTGTCATTTGTCTTACCACTGATATCAGAATAACTGGGACAACGAAGGTCCAAATTAACCCATTTGTGAATGACACCCAACAACTGAAAAAAGAAAAGAAATCATATTTGTTGTTACTTTCTCTCTCGTTACTTGTATGAAATACTGACGATAAACTGAAGGTTGAAACGAAAAGAAATTCTGGTCAAACTAGGACATGGTAAGAGCAGTATTACTGACTACGAAGTAAGCGTTCGGGATCCAAAAAGAGAGAGATTAATCTATTTAATTTTGGAAGAGGCGCATTTGACTACATTGAAGAGCGGTTGACTACTTCCATACGTTTTCCTGTGAGAGGTGCTTCCATAACTATACTTACAAATCTTGATGGGTGTAGCTATCAATACCMTCCTTGAAAGTCGATGCAACAATTAATGATATCCCCACAACAAGTAAGGGAAAACCTGTGCATAGTAAAGAAAGAATTTTACGCTGGACTCATAACTCGACGGTACATATGAATGCTGAATTTTGATGAAGACAATCTTTTGCGCAACATCTTACCCCAAGCAAAGAGATAATACAACTTCATCTTGATGACAGTATTAAACACTTTAACGACCATTAAGTACAGGTAAACGCCCTCTAACATCATCCAACCAAACGCTACCAGATAGAAATAGTGCAGCATGACGGCTACAAATGTACAGATTCCCGAGTTAGACGTGGCTGTTATCCCTGACAAGAAAAAGATCTGCGCCACGGCGAGAGATATCGCCAAGTTTACTCGTATTTGGCATTGTTCTTGTTTCATGTTCCTGTTGAAAAGACCCCAAGATCAAAAAGAAAAGAGAAAGTCAATATATAAATATTCTTTATTAACGTCTCAATGGTTCTAGCCATACAATTAATGTTCTACCTAATTGGTGAGACTCAGACCCACACACTCTTACTCAACATAATTGAACCGGAGAGAATTAAAAGCAACACCTACATGAGAACAACATAGGCCACGACAGTAAGGACCTCCCCAAGAAGCGATRAACCACATCCAATATACGTGATGTAACTCAACGCTGCTAAGTGATCATGGGCCGTCTACAACATAGGAAAAAGTGTCAAATGCTGAAAATATTGTCGAATGTGGGGCTTGGTCTATCTAGGGGTTTACAGGATTGGACTGTGACTGGTATGATCATGATGCAAAGGACCAGAATGYACAGGTTTTGCCCTCTCAATGAGGTTCAGGTTAAAAACAAAAGAAATTCATTCGATATAGTCAAATCGAAGTGTTTGGATTCTTCGACAAGATCCTTCTYAACTCCTTCGCAATTTGCGCTGCGCAATTATCTTACCGGAGCGGTGTCATCCACTTGCATCAATAAGGCAAAGCTCGTCAAATGGTTACAGGAACAAAGCGTCTCATCTTCACTTCTTGTGATAATGATACATCCATTACGAGACCAAACACCATCCAAGCCAGTGCTTAAATATAGAGCCAATCGTCAGCCCCTTTAACAACACGATGTTTTCAATCATTTTAGAACTTTGTGGACTTACTTTATATTGTGTTTCCAATATGCACAACTTGGCTTGAACTTTGAGGGTTTCTAAAAGTAAACTTGGTTAAATAAGTGAATGATTTGATCGTATTAATAAAGGCTCTAAAAGGTAGCTTGGGGTAAATACAACTGACCTATTTCCTGGATCAAACACTTAGTGAGAAGATGTCTACCATTTTTACCTTTAAATGCTTCAATGTTATCGTCACGTTCTCCTCCAAGACACCTTCAGGTTTGGGGTCTAGTGTACTCGATATTATAACACTGTTGATCACACTACTAGTGTTGCTATCCTCTGAACTATATGAAAAAATAGTGTAAAATATATTACGAATAACTTTCATGGCAGTTTCCAGTTTTTTGTAAGCGCTGATATTTTCAAAGCAGCAAAGGAAGGTAATTATTTGGGATAATTTTGGAATTGTAAAGTTTTGGAGGCCTTCTATAACATTGGTGAATCCTTACAACAGAAAGTGCTGTTATACCAAAAGAAAACCTACTCATCTAAGATAGAAAACTTTTTTTACCGCAATATAGATATAGACCTCTGCTGGCTTGTGCTGTTGATGGTCTGGGATTTATACATATTTAAGCTATGTGACATCTGAGTTCTTTTGGAGATATTTTGCACACATTTTATTAAAAGTTTGGACTTACTTCGCAATGATGTTACTAGAGACACTGCGTAGAAGTGCATTGACTACGTATTTCCCTGGAAGATAACATCAAGAGCAATTCAAGTATCAACACAGACTCTCGCAAAAGGAAGAAAGATTGATAAAATTAAACAAAATAAGCTATCCACTCCATAGACTTTGCTTGGCATTTTTATCTGCCGGTTGGATTCATCGGCTGGTTAACATTATACACTCTCACATAACTATCCCCAGTTGAAGAATCGTGTGATTCGRGCTTACCATTTTTGAATAGAGAGCCAGGAAGTTTAATGGTAGCCTGGTCATCTTTGACTTTATTTTGGTAAYTCTTGGCAGGAAACTCGATTTCCTCGTTACTGGACGATACTTTGCGTATCTCAAAAGCTGTGAATTATAATATAACTGTGATGTAACTACTATAGGGCGGATGCAGAAAGGTGTCCATAGAGTACTCCAGTGCACTTAATAGCATCCAGCAATCTTTAAGGAGCGCATACTTACCAAAATCATTGKTCGCAYTCGTCATGTTATAACTACTGGAGTTTTGGAAGTGATATTTCACAAAGTCCATTCCAAAATGTTCCATTTCATTGGCGGCCATCATGACTTTYCCTTTTTCGTTTTTGTTGCTCTTGATCTTTTCCATGAAAGATGCCGTTTCTATCAGTACTTTCTGTTAAACCCGTCAAAAGTATTAGTTGAAGGATAGTTATATACAAGATCTTACAGCCACATAAACATACATTCTCTACCGCCCAATCATATACATTCTSTACCGCCCATTCACRTACATTCTCTACCGCCCATTCACATACATTCTCTACAGCCACATTCACATACATTCTCTACAGCCACATC